GGAGCTGCCGCCCCGCTGCTCCATGCGGGAATGCCTGGGGGGGGGTGGACACGGAGGGGCGGCAGAGACACACCCCCCCCCGCGGCAGGTGGGGGATCTCGCCGGGAGCCCCCCACACCCCCGCGATGGGGGGCGCCGCCGATTCGGCCTCCCCCCTACCCGCCGGGTCCAGCACTGCTTCGGGGGGGCGGCACCCCCAATTCCCCCCCCCCGGGGCGGTGCCGGCACCCCAGCTCCCTGCCGCATCCCCTGCCGCATCCTGCGGGAGCCGAGGGGCGGGGGGGGCGGTATCACGACCCCCCCCCCCAGCTCCCTGCACCCGCATCGGGGCAGCAGCGGCCACAGGAGACGCTTGGTGTCCCCCCCGTCCATCCCCACCCCGCGACTGCGACACTCGCCGAGTCACGAGATGCTGCGAAACTCCGCGGCCCCTCCGCGTGGACGCAGAGCCCGGGCTGGCCGGGGGGGCGGCCTCTACCTGCCCTCCCTTCTCCCCAGGCTCTGCCGGTCCCGGGGGGCAGGCGGGGGGCTCCTGGGACGGCTGCAGAGGCCGGAGGCTGAGGCTGAGCCTCGCAGTGGCTCCCTGGGGTCCCTCAGCAAGTGCTGCCCGAAGCGGAGCCGGGACAGCGCAATGGGAGTCCCTTGGCATGCGGCAAACCCGCGGTCCTTGCTGAGCCGGGGGGCTCCAGCCCCCCTGCAGGGCTCAGCCCTGGGTGCCGAGGCACGTTTGAGCCCCACATGGCCCTTGGGGGTAAGCCCAGGGCCAGGCTGGACACCAGGGGAAGGCCTGGTGTCCAGCCTCCTGAGGCCCCCTGGACACCACCAGGGGAAGGCCTGCAGCCTCCTGAATCCAGGCTTTGGGATGACTCAGATGGGGGAAACCAAGCAGTGGTCAGGGCAGAGCCGGGGTGGGGGGCACCTGGTCCTCACGGGCACTAGGGACCACGCTGCAGCATCCTCAGCGATGCGGTGGCGTCGTCAGGCTGTGATGGGGTCCCCCGGTGGGCTGCTGCGCCCTGCAGTGACAGCGATGCAGCCCCTGGCCATGCCACCCTCACCCCAAAGCCTCGGGACACCCGAGGACAGGGACGGCCCAAGGGTGTCTGCATGGTCAGAGGGCACCTAGTGCAGAGACAGCGATCCCGGCACTGCTACTCACTCCCTGGGGCTGAACCACACACAGGTAAGTTAGAGAAGAGAGCGGTGGTGACAAATGACCTGCCCCTTTCTCACAGAAAACAACACCAGTTATTCAGAAGAAACCATTTTATTATTTTTTTTTCCCAAAGAAAAAAAAGCAATATAAATATTAGAGTATAAAACTTGCGTGTAACACATTGACATTGGTCTATATGGGTATAAGAAGGATATAAGCATATATATAATATATAAGTATAATTCAATATTAGACACATTGAAAGGGCAAACGTGTTTCATGTCACGTACACTCAAGAGCACAGACCACATGGAAAGAAGGTACAGAGAAATTGAAAATACTGGTGTCCACAAGTTAGTTACCGAGATAAAAATAACACGCCACTAAATACACGACACTCACTACTCTACCTCAGATTGCAGATTAAAAAGAAATATAAACACTACGCTCCATCTACAGCATCTCTAGAAGGGCCACGTAATAACTACATGAGATTGTGTAAGCCTTACTAATCATGTAAACTGTTTCTAGTGCCGCCACCACAGGAGGTGACCGGGATCAGTACAAAACTCGTGTGCAGGCAAGGTCCTCCCATGGGCCGGTCCCGCTTCCCTGGGCATAGGGAGAGAGCCACTGGGCCCGGCAGCCTGTGCCGCTCATGTGCCCGGAGCCGAGCAGAGGAGGCTGGATCTGCTCAATAACTAACGTGTTAGTTATTAAATGAAAAGCAAGAAAAAAAAAAAAAGAAAAAGAAAAAAGAAAAAAAAAATACAAACCAACCTCCCCCAGAGAATCAAGCCGACCTGGCGTGGCTACCTCATCCCGTTCTCTTTTGCCCTATCACTACAAAAAAAGAGCTGTGTCTCCCATCACAGTCCCAGTCGTCTGGTTTGATGTGGGAGAGAAGAGGCAGACGATGAGGCACATGGGAGACCCCAAGACCAGGCTGATGTGGGGCTGTGGGCACAAGGCACCTTCCCTTTGTGGCGTTTATACCAGCAGGAGAAGGGACAGAGAGGTGAAGGGCACGTGGTGCAGAAATCCCATTCCTGGTCCTTCTGCTCCAGCTGTGTGGTGGAGAGTCCAAAGCCAGTGGTAACATCAAACACAAACTGGGCTGCAGGTCCAGCCTGGGTTGAGTCCCATCTACCTGTCTGGGTGGAGCAACCCGCAGGGAGCCAGAATCCTCTGAGCCCCAGGTCTCCAACCAACTCCATCTCCACCCAGGCTCACTGGCTTTGCAGGCAACACCACACACACTCATTTCCAGGTCTCGTGTCCCTTACACAGGTCTGACCACCCAGTGCCACCAAACCAGCTGTCACCTACTCAGCAGCCAATGCTGAAGGCCAAGGAACCACAGCTACTCACAGGCAGTTCTCATCAACACCCCTTTGGGAGCAGGGCCTCTCCAACTCTCCCCATCTTGTGTTACTGAACCCAACTGAACCCTAGATAGACACTGCTCAATCTGCACTTAGACTCGTTTATCTGCCGGCGTATTTATACCATGCTTGCATGGGCATGCAATGACTTCTCTACATCCGTGGAGTTCACTGCTCTACTGGAGATGTGAAGTGAGTAATTTGCATGCAGACACTGATGTGCAGAAATGTGAAGCTTGGTCTCCGTTCCCTACAAGCAGATCAAAACTTACTCAAGTAGCCCAAGGCCTCGGTAAGGCCTCAGCTATGTCACTGCTTGAAGGAGCTGCAGCTCCTATCTCGCAGCAGGGCACTAAGACTTTCTTAACTTTAATTCCAGAAAAGAAAACATTTACTGTACATATAAATATTTACTGCAAAGAACGTATGAGATGTGTCTGCTCTTTAGAGACCTCTGTAATCGTTAGGACAGCTTTTGTACACCTTGGTAGAGAGTAGAACACTCTTCCACCGTGGTTAGATCGAATTCCCTGTCTCTCAGACATGGTGACTTTTAGTATTATATTTCAGGCCATCACTGGTTGCACTAAAAAAAAAATGTTTAGGATGCAGCTTTACCGTATTCCCTTTGACTCATGCAATATAAACACTTACTTTTTTTAAGATAACAGGTAAACAGGAACTGAAGCACTCCCTCCCAACTTCTTAGCACGAAATCCCTAACTCAGAGTGAACTTTACTAATAGAAAGATAAACAGCAAAATCTTGAACATGGGCTCCAACCTAGGAACTTTCTCCTTCCACAAATGATCAAATGTCTATCAATTAAAAAAAAAATGTTAAAATTATTTACACTAGGCGAAGCCAAGCACAAGCCTTGTGCCTTTCTCAGACTATCGGGGAGCAAATCGAATCCAAAGACATGGTTAAAAGACCTTCCACCCTTGCATATTTCCATTACCCGAGGGACTGTATAAAATATTAGCTAGTATTAACAGGGCACTTGTTTTTTTGTTTTGTTTTGTTTTGTTAGGTTTTGTTTCCAGATTGAGTTTCATCATGAGATCTAACAGTAGCGAGACCCTACTCCTAGCTCTGATGATGAGATACATTCGTCGCTTTTCCTACTTTAGTGTCGCAAGATTCACATTCATCCTCCGTCCTAGGCTGTGATTTGGGGGAGTGCTGGAGCGGTCTGCCCTGTAGATCTAAGCTGCAGATGGTCTCCTGTCAACCCTACTTCTTCTCCTTCTTGTTGGACTTCTTCTTGTTGCCACCGGCGGAGCCGGCGTTCTTGGCGTCGCGCTTGCCCGCGGCGTTGGTGAGCGTGGCGGTGCTGCCCGGGATGTACACGTTCTGCCGGTAGTCGGGGACGTGCTGCAGGGTGAACTGGGGGCCGTAGCGGGCGCTCAGGCCCATGGTGCCCGTTCCTGCGCCCAGAGTCGCGTTCCCATCGGCAGCTTCTGGGGGAGGCGCAGGAGAGAAGCAAAGAAAACAAGAGGGCCGTTAACGTCAGCGAGAGACTGGGAATATCCCAAAGCCCATCCCAAGCCCCACTCTGTTGTGCACAGACAGGGATGCTCCAAAAGGCAGTCCCAGGCAGAGGCCATCTAGTGCATCCCCCCTTGGTGCCACCACACCACAAACTCTCCTTAGTCTTCATCACTGTAGGAGGATGAGGGCCACATAAGCAGGTCCACGAGTCTAACGGGATGGGAGATGCTCACTGTGGGAGACAGAACCTGCAGGTCTTTTGCTGGAGGACACCGCGCTGTCCCCATTACACAGCCCAGCAGAGGTGCAGGGTTGAAAGCAGCCAGGGGCCATCTGGTCGCAGTGGGACATCGCACAGGGGCACGGGAGAAGCCCAGGAGCAGTTTCATCCCTGTGTTTCCTCTTCTCCCTCCCCAAAACCTCCCACAGGGAAGGCCAGGCAGGTGAGGTGCATCCATCGGCAAGGCACATCGCCCGTGCGTGCCCGGACTACGAGGCTGAGAGACTGAGATCTCCTCAGGACACACCGGTTTCAGGGGTGGCCTGTGCCCAAGCAGCAGCAGAAATCCCTCAGTGTCGCCTGCAGCCCAAGCCCCCCCTGCCTCTCCAGACCGCCGCTCGTGACACACGTACCGTACGGTTATAACCATTAGTAATGCATTAAGAGAAATCCATTACTGGGCCCTGCAGTTTTTTCTCCCTGCATTTAAACCCCTCACCACGGTATTTCTAAAGATAGGTTTGTTTCAGGAGCGGAACCCATGGCACGCCAAGCAAAATCCCGTCACGCGGTGCCACAAAATGGCTCTGGGAAGCACAAAGCAGCCGGTGCCCAAGCGCGCATGATAGCCCAGCTCTGAGATCAGGCCACGGAGGGGAGGAGGGAGGCAAATTAATTCCTGACATGCTGCAAAAAGCCGGCACCGAGAGGCTGCGTGGGGGCTGGGAGGGCTGCAGAACCACCGGCGATGCTGTCACGGGCTGCAGAATGGGAATGGGGAGATGCAGAGGCAGGGAATGGGGAAATGCAGAGGCAAAGAATGAGCAACGCTGCCTCCAAGAGCTGCTGCGCAATCCACTCCAACGCGACCAGCCCGGGATTTGATTCCTGCACAGCCCTGCCTGGAAAGGAGTTGCTCAAATCCTGCTTTTGCATTCAATACCATGGATCTGCAAAGATCCTGCTGCATCTCCCGTGAATGCGGCTTTGATCTGCTGGGGACATGAGCTCTCAGAAGCCTGGGAGAAAGCCCCAGGTTCTCCCTGGGGTGGCAGACGTGGTACCTCCCAGCCAACCAAGAGGGCTTTGGGTGACACCGCTCTAGCAATAGGGCTGGCTGAGTCCTCGCTGCGAAAAAAAGTGCCCAAGGAGCCCAAAGCAGAGTCCAGAGCTGCTGCTCCCCCCTTTCCCAGTCACAAAGATAGACAAACAAGAATGAATTGTGCTCCGACCACATCCTGTTGCTCCGAGCAGATCTGTACGTGTCTCCAGAACAAAGGCTGGGGCCAACACCAAGGAACCCAAACAGAAACCCGGCACACACTTATCTCCTACCCCCCTGCAATGCTTCGGGGTATATATGTACCACCAAGGGCATTGCAAATATTAAGCAACTGCAATTTGAAAAGCTACAGCTGCTGTTACTACAACGGACAGAGGAAAACTATGCAGCGAGTCTTAAAACGGGCATAATATTATGCATTAAGGACTAAGGAAGCTCCTTCCTTAGCTGTATATACAAATGCTGCAAAAGACACGGTGGGGAAATGTCGATTTAAATTTTTTTTTTTTTTTCTGGCGTGAGAGATGCCTTTTTCTGACGCTGCTTTAGACCGGCTCAAAGAACTGGCAGGGTTTTTAGGAGCTTCTCCGGGGGAAAACATGAGCGTTCACGTGGAGAGGATGAGCAGACGCATTTAATTATGTTCGTCACTAATCCTCCGTGCTAGCTCCCTATCCCAGGGTTTCACTGCTCACCCCCTGGGTTGTGTTTAGCTTTATCTTCTTTCTTCCTGTTTTAAAAGGTACTTGGGGATTTGTAATTGTCCACCTCATCAACAGCTCATTTCGCTAACGATCAACTCAATTGCCCTCCCCTGGGGGTGTTAGGGACCGGGATGCAATCACAGGAGATGGGCTATCGGCTGCAATCAGGGACCAACTTGCAGGCGGGTTATTGCCTCTGGAATGGGGGGGAGGATCTTTTTTTCTGGGCTCTGCCCCTTCTCAGGGCTCAGATGGATTCCAGATGGACAAAACCCGGCCGGGGGCTCCACGAATTGGGGCAAGTTTCAGTGTGGGACAGCACCGCTTGTCCCACCAACCCATTCCTCTCCATCCCGACCCCTCAGGGGCTTCATGGAGCGAGGGGCCTGGGGGCTCTCAGCAGCATCCGCCACATCTTTCCTCTATGAAATACACCGCAGAGGCAGCACAGTTTCCAACGGGGAAAGAAAGGAAAAAAAAAAAAAATCAGGCTCCCAGCCCACCAGCTAATCCAGTCCAAGAGTTAAGAGCGAGTAGAAAGCTGTTTCTAGGTAACATTGACATTAAGGCTGAAAAGAAGCGAGAACAGGGAGAATAGAGATTTAGAAATGGGCACTGAGCTGCTTTTGCCAAGCTGGGCATTACAGCTCTTCTTGCTTCAGCCTTTACCAGCGGCCAGTATCCTAAATAGCTCCCGAATATCCTTCAGGAATATCCTAAATATTCCTGAAGCTCCCGAAGCAGCTTCCAGTGGGGAAGAGGAAAATAAAAATTTGCACTTAGGCAAAAATAGCCGCGTGGCTCCATTTCCCTCCTGAGTTGAGCTTATCTCTGGAGGGGACTACGAGATTTAGGGGGTTTGGCGCTGAGCACTGGCTGGTGCAGCTGCTGGAGGGGCTTTCAGGGGACCCAAATATAGAGCGTCTGCTGGAGCCTGTGGGCTGCAGGGCTGGGAAGGGTCCCCTCAGGCCGCCTTGCTGTCTGCAGGGCTGCCTCGTGGCGCCCATATAAATTTGTGCTAAAAGAGACAAAGAATTTCAAGAGAGATCTCCCAGGACGGGCTGCTTCGCAAGCTTAGCCATCAGTGTCCTGTTTCCCAGAGCGTCTCTGCTGCTTGGCTTGTCTTTGCAGCTGCCTCTGTCCTTTCGGATTGCTAAAATCACTGGCTTTTCAAGCCACTGGCAGCTCCCAGGGCTCGTAAAGCGGGAGCGTAAAAGCAGCCACTCAGATGTACTGCAAGGCTCAATCCGCAGGGATACGGCACAGGACCTCGTGGCATCCTTAACATCCTCCCACCCTGAAGACCCATGCTCAGCATGGGAATGTATTACTGAAAAGAACGTTAAAACGGCGTTTTTCTATCCCTGCTCCTAGATCAGCTGGTTTACTGCATGAAAGAGCCTGTACAGCTAATGGGGAAGGTGGAAGAACTTCTGCCCAAAATGTGGGACTGGAGACACTGTCAGTGAGATGCCATGGGCCAAGCTATGAAGTAATCAGGAACGAGGTCTCCCAGCTGGGAGGGCAGGGGATCCAGAGGGACCCTGGAAGTGGAGGCAGAAGCCCCACAACAGGGCTGCAGCCCTGTGAGCTCAACTAGCTCCAGGCCTTGGTCCTGTCCCTGCAGCTGCTCTCTGGCTCAGACCCAAGTTAGCTGCCCTCTGCCTTGGAAGGGGAGGAAGCAGTAGTGGCAACTGCTTTAATCCTCGGAGAGACTGGCTTGACTGAGCCTGGAATAGCCAAGCAAGCTCGCTGCTCTGTCTCTACTTCCTTCTACACGGTGACATGGGGCCAGGATGCAGATAGGAAAGTGTGGAAGTTCATAGCAAAGCAGCATCAGGGCGAGCTTCAGCCTCTCAGTCTCTGGTAAGTGCCGATCTGCGCACTAACCTCACTCTGAGCCCTAACCAGATGCTTGAAGTGGTTTATTTGCCTGCTCTGGGCAGAGGGGCTCATGCTGAGAACACTTGGCCTAAGTCAATGGCACAGGGTGCTTTCACCACTGTAATGAGCAGCTACGGCCCTTTGTATCTCCATAGCTGGAGCAGAGCTCAGCAGACAACAAAAGGAGGCAATTGTCATTTGAAAAGCCACCAAGCATTACCCCAGGATGGATAAGTGCAAAGCTTTGCACCCAGTTACAGCCGTAACATCTGTCCTGGATCAAAGCCTGCCCCACCAGCGCCCTTAGCCTAATGAATGAGGGCAGAATGCGAGGAAATCGGTGGGGGGGAAGACTGATGACAACACCGTTACCATGAAAAGAAAAGTATTTGGGGGCTCTTGCTGCGCTGGAGATGGATTCCTGGTTTGTGCCCCCACCCTGGCATCCCTCTCCTCTCAGCCAAGTTCCAGAGTGGGCAGGAAAAAAAATAATTACACTGAGCCAGCCTTTCTCTGGAGCAACGCTGGAGAATAGAAGTTGCTTTGATTTGGTAGATGGAGCTGGTTTAATTCAGCGCCCTGGGCAGACAGAGCCGTGGGAGAGGTTAAGACGTCTGGACTGGGGTAGATTTGCCATGAGAGGACCCAGGGCAAGGCGGGACCAGTGTCTAACCTGGCAGGAACCATCTCAGCTTTCAGATCCCGGGGAGCTGCTGGAATGGCAGGCAGCAAAACCGTTTTATTTGTGAGCAGGGGAACTGCATCTGGAGGCCCTGCGTGATGATAACCAGATGGGCCCCTTGAGGCTATTTTTCCATGTTTTTTTTTTTTTTTTTTTTTTTTTTTTTCCAGAACAGAGACACATTTTCACGTTGTTTCTCTTCCCTGAGTGTAAACAAGTCTAATACCCAAGACCTTCATCCCTTCACCCGGCCGCCACAACTGTGTCCCTCGTGTCTGCAGAGAGCCGTGCAGGGAGGCAAAGTTCATCTGAAGCAGCTTTCCAAGAAAGCAACCCCACACGAACCCCTCCTCCTCCAGATTCCTTCTCTCCCAAGAGCTCAAAGGAAGCATCTTAAGCATTTTACACAGGGTTTTATGGCTGCGCTGCCGATGCTATTTTTAAATCAAGGGGGAAAGAGTTGGTGGTATTTATTTATAAAGGCTTTATGAAAACCAGCCTCTTTATCCTGAGTGCTGCATAGAGCGATAATTGCGCTTCTTTTATATAAAGCCATGGAGCTTGCAGGCTCTCAGAAACACCCCTCTGCATGCACCGCTTTCACACAACACAGCCATTAATCAGAACAAGCCAACCAAGCAGCTAAACAGTGCCAGACCCAAATCCCAACAACTGCAAACACAAAGATCCTGCAACAGGATGTAGGGCAGAGTCCTCGCTCAGTCCTCAGCCCACCAGAGCCCACCTCACAGCGAGCTGCAGCTACAACAGCCACCAGACGCAGGGACACATGCTGGTGGGAACCATATCACTATCCCTGTCTCCAAACATAAGTTGTGATGGTGGTGGGGTTTTATTTCTTCTTTTTTTTTTCTTTTTTTTTTCTTTCTTTTTTTCAGACCTGCAGATCCTTCCTAAAACATTTTTTTTTTCTTCTCCTAACACAGGATATTCCCTACTCATCATGAGAAGAAAAAGGGACCTGTTACTATGCAATAGTCTCAAGCCTTTGTCTGGGGATATGGTTCTGGTAACCTTTAACTACAGAACCCTAGAGTAAGCGGATCTGGGCTGACTCAGGAAGCATTTAGTGCATTTCTGATACCACTCACCTATCTCTAGCCATAAGCAAATCTTTCAAGCTTTTTGCCTCATTGCCTAATGTCAAGTTCCACCATAGCAGATATTTCATTCACTGTGACCTTCTGGAACCAGCTAGCTTACAACACATCTCAAGACCAGCTTTTCCATTCAACACAATCCCACATTCAACACAATACACATGTTTCCATTCAACACAATACACTTTGGGTGGAAGAGCTAACTCTGTCTACAGCACGCCTGATGCTGATGACCATCTTGCATCCCTTTTTTCAGAGGGTTTTCTGAAGCCTCTTTTCTACAGGGTAACACAGACAGCGGTGCTTTTCCACGAGCGTCTCTTTAAGCATTTCAGAAACAATCTCAGCCCCTCCAATTATGCCAAACACACCAATAACACAAGCATCTTATCTATTCACATGCGCCCGGGATATCTGTGTAATAGCAAATGATGCTTTTTTTTCCCATACGGAATGGAGACTGACCGTTCGCTGAAGCCAGGATCATGGCTTGAAGCATTTCCGTGTCAAACTGGTTATTCGGCCAAGCTCCACCTTCCTCTCCATTCTGGGAGCTAAGGAGAAAGAAAAGAAACAGCAAGTTATTGCAGTTCAATAAAAAGGAGTGGGGTTGATAAGGTAAGGTATCAATAAGGTAACAGTGTGGACTTGCCATTGCAGATACACAGCCTGAGAGCAGCCCCATCAAACTACTCCRGGTGCGACTGCTGAGTTGGGCAGTGCTCCTGGAAAGGCTATGGATTTAAACCACTCTGCTAAGGAATACCCTAGCGACAAAATACTTTGAGGCCTCCATCCTTTTGCAGGCTTTTGAAGAATAACAACCWAAAAAAACTAGTTGGGAACTCAGTGATACTTCCAGAAATACTCCTACCTCTGATCTCAGAGAGAATCAGGCACCTAAATAGTTCAAAATCCCAGCAGGTGCCTTCACACATCAGTACATCACTTAAATACCATGAAAATGTTAGTCCTAAAGTCCCAGAGATCCTTGTACAATCAGATTATTTTCAGGTTAAAACTCCRTTCAATAGCTTCATTTGTGAGAATGAAAGCAAGAAAAACTTCAGGAGCTTTGGCATGAGCAGGAAGCCAGCTGTCTAGCCCTGAAGGGAGTCAAAGAGCAGGCACCAACTCTGAAGAACGTTGAGCAAGATTTCTGGGGGAGCGGTGGGCAGAAGACAGGGGAGGCGAGAGACCAGCTTGGTTCCTTGGGGAAGGCTAATGGATCGACTGTTAGCACAACAAACCATCCGATCGGCTTGGAGAATCCCTGGGGATGCTGTAAAGCTTCAGTTATGGGGCAGTTGTCCATCAAGGTCTAGAAAGCTCTGCATTCCTGTATTCATCATGTGCACAAGTCAACGTTTATGTGGTTGATCAGCAGGTCAGCAGAGAACTCTCAAACTCACCAGCTGTCAGGGCCTCTGCTCTGCCCCTGCAACAGCGTGTGAGYGACCATGTAGCACATGAACCCTCTTGGGAGCTGGACTGGGGCCACAGGTCTTGCCTGTCTCAGCCAAGTGCTCTGACCACCGTGCAACTCTYGCCAGGTTTTGGGAGGCAAGGCTCTCAGCTGTGGATTAGCTCACCTCAGCGGGTGTGGTGAGGGCTGCCGCCACTTCTGCGGCCAGGAACTCTCAAGATGTGAGAGGTCAYTCACGTTGGAGAAAGCTGAGCCTGCTTCCTAGGCAAGCATTCAAACCACCAGGCTGCAGGCCAAGGAGGTGGCCTCCTGCACCCAAGCTTCGCCTTGGAGGGGAAGCTGTGGTCAAAACACTCACATCCAAGAGGAGGTGTCCAACCCTAAAATCCTTTTCATTTGGAGACTTCCCCAGTTGTGGGATCTCCTCTTAGCTGCTCTGCGTCCAAGTGCTCAGCAAGTGCCCCAGCCAYGTCATACTAGTGCTAGTATGCCTACTCAGCATCACGGGCACCTCACCACCGTGCTGAGCATCATGCAACCTGAGTCCTCCTCCCMGATATGACTGCTCCAGCCTTTAGGTACAACACAGGTCAAGTTTGCCCATTTTGAAAACACGTCACTGAGATACAGACTGACCCGCATGCAAGTGAKGAACGCACAACAGCTTTCCTATTCCCCCCTGTACAAATGTCCTGTACACTCAGGAAGAAAAAGCCCAGATGCACAGACCAGATAAGAGCCCCAGTAAGTCCCGATCAGGATCAAAATTTATCCTGCTTGTTCATACAGCTCAGGATAGACCCCGTGAAAGATATGTATGCACACAACTCCCTTTGAAACACCTGGGCTTAGGGGAGACATGGACTTGGGATACTTCTGGGAGCTTCAGTGAGGGATAGAAATGCTTTTGAAAATCCGGTCTTAAGCAACTTGCTCAAAGATATGCAGGACCTCTGCCAGGACATGACTATCCTTCCTTTCCCCATTCCTCATTGCCTTTGTGACATAACTCTGGCCAGGGCCGTATTCCTGTTCTTGCTCTACTGTTTCATCTGCTGAGGACACAAACAATTACTTATTTAGCAGAGGATGTCCTGGCAGGACAGCTATAGCAGAACAGCTTTTGAAGTATCTGCCATCTGCTGCAACCTGGGGCATCCCAAAAATTATTCATAACTATCATCTACAACACAGCATGCTGGCTCAGTTTCAAGAAGGCCAGAAGAGAGTTTTGCCCGCCTCCCAAATTGATTTCAGTGTCTGCTCGTATTCTGGTTTCAGTGAGACTCCTCAAAGAAGATCGGAATTCCATCGTACTCGGCGTTACGCCAAGCAGTATGGAGCAATCTTTGCCTCAGAGAACAGAGCGTCCCAGCAGCCAGACCAAATAGGAGACAGCTTCAGGGATGGAGTGACCTATTCAGTGTCACAGGCAGGGCTAGGAACAGGGCTCCAGAGTATATCCAATAAAGGGCTTATGCACCTAAACCACCACCCATTCAGCCACCACTTAACCCCAGCAGCTCCTCCCTCACCAGATGTCTCCCTGGTTGACAACTGTTTCCCCTGATGTTTCGATGCTGCATGGAGCCTGTCCGGATACACCCATCTCCATATTAATTTCTCAGGAGGAACCCAGTCTGGCCTGGTCCTTAGGGACCTCTAGCACCATGATGTCCTTAGGGACCTGTAGCACCTAGGGAGGGGAGCAGGGAAAGAAGGCACAAAAAAGGCCAAAGTTAATTTGACTGGAGGGAAGATGTGGTTGTAACAGTCCAGCGGTCTGAACCAATGTCCAATCTATATTTCACTCCTTCTTTGGTATAAAAGTGCAGGCACTGTGTGAGGCATCCTTTTTTCCACTTCCCAGAAGACTGTTCCATTACTTTTCACCCTTCCTTCATGCAACAGCCTACCCTGGGCAGAAGCCTCCTCTACCTCCTGCTAAAGCTGTGCCTCTGCACAGCAGGACAGAGCAAACACATGGAAGAAAAGCATCACCCTATAATCAGGGTGTTCATCCTGAAGGCCGGATCAGGGTCCCCAAATTCTGAGATCCCAATAGGCTTTTTCCCCCAAGTAAGCACTTCCATCTCCCTTCCAATGAATCACAGTCTTTTGGCTGCATATGGATAGAGATGAAGAACCATCATCCTATAGCTACTGCCAAGGATCAGACTTGCCTGGCACTGAGTTGGAAGGATATTCTGCTAAGAAGGGAGGAGGAAGAGGAAGAAGAGATGTGACTGTCAGTCCCTGCAGGCCGGGAGGATGTTGAAGCTCTGGGTCTTAGAATCACAGAATCATARAATGCTTAAGGTTGCAAGGGACCTCCAGAGGTCATCTAGTCCAACTCCCCTGCTCACGCAGGGGCACCTAGAGCACGTGGCACAGGCCTGTGTCCAAGTGTGTTTTAAAGATCTCCAGAGGAGGAGACTCCACAACCTCTCTGGGCAGTCTTCAGTGAGACATGCTCAATCTGACCTGAAGCACTATATTTGATGCAAGTGGGAAGGTATCTGGTCCACTCTGCCTTTCTTTTGAGTGCTCCCAAACGTACTCAAAGTAGGGCCAACCTCTCAGTTAGATGCAACTTCATATTAGATGCTTAAGGTCTTGAGCTGTTGAACTTCTGATATTTCCAAGACATATTTTTGGAGCCTCTCTGGACCTCTGTCCCAGTGTTTGGCCACCCTCAGGGGGAAAAGTGTTTCCTAATATCTACTCAGAATTTGTTGTGTTGTAACTCATGCCCATTGCCTTTCACTGTGCACTTTTGCACAGGGTCCGTGTCTGTGTTATCTACAAAATTCCCTTGGACAGAAGACAGCAAGTAGCTCTTCTCTTAGCTCTCACTTCTCTAAGCTGAAGAAACTCAGCTCTCTCAACCTCTCCTCATCAGTTACGTGCTCCAGACCTTTGATCATGTTGGTGGCCCCTGTGCATCCATGTCCTTGTTGTACTGGAGAGCCCAAAAGTGGACACAGCGCTCCAGATGTGCTCACGCTCAGCCTACAGCACAGGCATGTGCTGCATCTCTTGAGTCCTGGCTCCAGCTCTTTCTAATACTCTCTCTTCAAAGGAGTGTAGATAAGCCAGCACTTCAGGCCCGAAACAGTGTTCCTGCTGCATATGATGTCACACAGGAAAGCTATTTTAGAAATGCCTTAGAGCTGCAAAAAAGATCGGCATTGAGCTCATTTCTATATGCAGGAAATTGAAGTGCCTCAATTGCTTGCAGTGCAATCATGCAGAATTCAGAGGCACGGAAAACACAAGTGCAGTAATCTAAAGATATCCTAAAATAAGTACTTACGCCTAAAAAAGGGCACACATCTGATGTCTTCCATCAGATCTGGCTGCCTTCCATGGCTATAGGACAGAGTTGTGAATTGCTGATTTACAATTCTACAACTAAAAGCCCACTTTTCCCCACTGATTCGAACTGCTTCTTCTACCTGCCTGCAACAGAGAGACCTTAAAGCAACCCCCCTCACAGGACTGCACACTGCTCATCCTGAGCCTTAAATAATCCTCTGGGGAGAATGCCCAAAACTTAGAGAGGCTGGTTCCTATGGAAATGACTGAGGGGAAATCACATTTTTAATACAGATGACATTTACTCAATAGGCTTTCTTTAAAAACCCATCCTCCACAGCACAGCTTTTTTTTTTTTTTTTTTTTTTTTTCCCTGTTAAATTCCTTTCCTGCTCAGTTCAGGAACACAGAAAATAGCTGTTCTTTATTCAGGGGCATTTCCAAGGCAGCTAGGACTGCAGAAAGAGAAACAATCGCCCAAATCTACATGTGAGACAAAGAGGCAAGTCTTTCCGTGCCAGGTCTCCCGGGAATACGGTGTCTGAGGTGGATGGGGGCATCATGGACACAGGTCCATGGGCAGCAYTGAGGTGCACAAAGCCACGTGCTTTTCACCCCGAGGGGAACTGCTAGGACAGAGGTGGGTATATCTAGGGCACATGCCACCAAGACCTTCATTAAACTCAGCCAAAGTGGATGCATGGAAGTTGGGAAATGCCAAAATGGAAGGTTGTCTGCGCAGTCCTGATATAGCCTCATTACGCATCAAATTACAGTGCTGCCTAAATACACAGGAGCCTATARGTTTTC